ACTATTACATTGATAGAGAATAAGTGTATTGATTGAGCATTGCATTTGCATACATTGTTTTGTGTGTGGGAGGAGATAGGGGATGTACTCCACGGTTTAGGGGAAGATAGGGGATGGACCTCTAAACCGGATTTTTGTTTGGGAGGAGATAGGGGATGGACTCCATTAGCATCACTTTTATGTGTGCTTATTTATATAGAAGTGTTTTATTGATACAGCACTAAAATGTGTATCAATCTGGAAGTCTGAAGTGTTTTGATTTATTTGAGCTTGAGTCTCATTTGTTTGTTGATATTGGAAGGATGTGAATACGATATATGTAATTCACTGTTGTAAGTTTGGCCAGGTTCTGAGCCATGTTGATAAAACTGGGAAGTAAAACGTATCTTAGACAATAGTGTCATGTGACTGTAAAATGAAGTAATTGATTATCCTGGTTAACCATCTGTTGGATGCTATTGCTTTATTCGTTACTTATATGTGGTTTAGTATATTTCTACTGGGCTGTGGCTCACCCTATATGGGAACATCATTTTCAGGTTCAGGGGATAAGCTACCTCCAAGGACTTAGCTTGGAAGGACTTGGATTCCGAAGACTATTTTTTTTGTTGTTTGCTTTTATTTGTTAGTACATGTAAAAACTCAAGCCTAGGGCTTTTCTTGTATTGAGTTAGAACTCGTATTTTTTTATCCAAGTGTTGGCTTGGAAAGATGTAAGCCTGTAGGGCATTTTATTCGATTATTTAGTAATACTCTGATGAATGAATTAATAAAATGTCTTCTTTAAATAATGCATGTCAATGATATATAATAGGTTAATTTTGAGGGCGTTACAATGCTTCATTCCATTTTCCTTTACTTAACAATTTCGATTTATAAACATGGCTCAGAACCTGGCCAAACAATTCCCATGAGACTACAGCTCATGTTAAAAACCTTTCCAATATCAACAATTCAAATGAATTAAAATTCATAACAAACACTTCCATACTTCACAATTCACATGAGATAATAACTCATATTAAAACACTTCCATACATCATAAATGATACACAGATTTACTGTATCAATGGAGTCCATCCCCTATCTCCTCCCAAATAATATTCGGTTTAGGAGTCCATCCCCTATCTCCTCCCAAACCGTGGAGTGCATCCCTTATCTCCTCCCACACAATACAATGTATATAAACAATTATCATATACACGATCAATCAATACACAGATTCGATATATTATTCCAACCGTCATATTCAATGACATATTCAACCGATTAGTTTTAATTCACCTAATCACCATGCAGTGTCTACAACAATCAAGACTATCCTCCACCGATAGCCCAAAGTAATTATTTCTAAATAGATAATAATTACATCCAACAGATAAATTATCAACATTTCTAGGGTGGGTGATTAATAAATCCAACTTCACCATTCTACCTCATAATGAGCCAATTTCATTATTTCCAACTCAATTTCATATTCCCATAATTTTCCCAAATTAATTATATAAATTATTTCATAACAAACATTAGGGTTTTTCTTCCCTTTTTCTTAACTTGGACCCAAAGGCTCAAATACTAACAACAAATATCAAAATCTCATTTTAAGACCCAAAATACATATGTATGGGTTAAAATAACAAAACACCTCTTTCAATATTCCAAATCTCAAACCTTAACTTCTCAAATTAAACCAATTAATCAAAATACCAAACATCTATGTTAAAGATCATAAAAATGAGTAGTTATCCCTACCTCAAAAGATGAGACCAAATGGAGAAGATGAAAAATTTCGAAATGCTCCAAAACTCAAGATTTTCGGATGGAAAGGTAGCCCAAGCCAAGCTCCACACCTTTTACAAAGGGACAAAGGTAGAAGATCACTAGAAATATATCAAACCTTAGAGAGAAGTTGTATTCTAGAAAGAGAAGCTCTCAAATGGAGAGTTTGAAAAGTAAAAGAGACAGAGAAAGTTGAAAAAGTGATCTAAAATGACCCAGCTGCTAACTGATATACGTATGACCCGCTCGAGTAGAGAATAGGACGCTCGAGCGTCAAACACAAAAAACTTAACCCGCTCGAGCACAAAAACACTTGCTTGAGCGCCAAGGCACAAAACAAGACACCACCCACTCGAGCGCAAAAAGGAACCCGCTCGAGCGTAGATTACACTCTTCCAGTACTTTACAGACATCGAACACCTGCTCGAGCGCAAGGATACCCGCTCGAGCGCGACCCACTCGAGCGTAAGGAAATTCGCTCGAGCGTGAAAAACACATTTGCAGTATTTGTGCAGACGGACAACTACTGAAGGTATGTAAACTCCGCTCGAGCACAAGAAAACCCGCTCGAGCGGATCACTAAAAATCTGGGCAACAAGAGTTGGGACAAAAGCTCAACCAACCTATTCGAAACACGCCCAAGACAATTCTAAACTCAAATACAAAGAGTTAAAGGACGGAAATGAAATACAGACAACAATAACTATCAATGCAACCGAGTCCAGAATACAGTAAACATGAGAGGAAAATCGGGATCGCTATAAAAAATTCAAAGATGGAGAGGATGAAGCATCGGCGTTGCAGATTGAGAGAGGTAAACAAGAATCTTCAGAAAAGCTTGACTCAAGTGGAATATAAGAATTCTGAGCTAGCAAACAAGGTTGCGGATCAGCAAAGAATGCTAAAAGAATAGGAGGATGCTTTCAATGAATTGGGAGAAGAGCACAAACGACTCGAAGTTTTGTTTCCAGAATGCAAGGCAAACCTTGAAGTTGTTGAAAGGAAGATTGAAGAAATGGAAGAAGAGGAGTTGCAAAAGAGTATTGAATCGAAAGATAGGAAAGTTGATGAATTGGAAGAAATAATCGAAGACTTGAAAAGAGATCTGGAAATGAAAGGAGATGAAGTGAGCTTGTTGATCGAGAATCTTTGCACGATTGAGGAAGACTACAGGCACTTTGAGAGCTGTGTTTATGAATTCTTGAACGAGTTTCAAGTTGCAAAGAACAGGGTTAATGAGACAAATACTGAGAAACAATAACTAAAGGATGAGAGCAACTGCAAGATAAGAAAGAAAAGAAATTGGTCTTAAGAGAAAGGATCAGAGAATTGGAAACAAAGTTGCACAAAATTGAGGATGAGAAGCAGAATTTGATCAAAAAATTATTAAAATGCTTGAAGAGAAGATAGGGGAATTGGATAAGACGATGAGTGAAAAAGAGGAGGGGATATTGGCGCTCGGGGAAGAGAAGAGGGAGGCGATAAGACAATTGTGTATATGGATCAATTATCACCAGAATCGATGCGAAGATCTCAAGGAAATGCTCTCAAAGGTATTATTTGGTAGAAGGCCAATAGCAACTTGACTGTTCTAAATTTTTATTCTTTTATTTTTGCATTTATGTCTATTATTATGGTTTTTGTAGTTGATTGTGATATTTAATTGGTTTATTTTGACAATATCATTTGTTGGTGGAACTCTTACCAATTTAGATTTTGTATAGGGAATTAGTGTTATTTTTGTGCACTTTTTTTTCCGTCAGTAATGTCTAAAAGTTTAGACTACATTCATCGTCGTTCTTAAAACTTTTCAAAATTTCATAAATCATTCATGTCCCTTTCCCTCTCTCTTAGCTTTATAGTTGACCATTTTTGTTTAGTGGGGTTTGCAGTTTATTTTTTCGACTTTTTTATTCTTTTTTTTTTTGTGTGTCTTAATGAACCTTTTTTATTTATTATTTTTTTTAATTACCCAAAAAAAAATTTAAAAAAAAAATTAAATTTCCAGATTCTACTCGATGAACTAAATTTTTTTAAAAAAAAATATCCAAAAAAAGAGAGATAATTTTTTTTCCTTATTTTGATTTAAAAAAAAAATTTACCTTTAGATTCATCTAGATAAGGTAGACTAGAAAAATAAAAAATTGACATAATTTTAAATAAAAAAAATCACCCAAAAAAATTGAAATGAAACATAATTTATTTAAAATTTCCCGAACAATTAAAACGAGCTTAAAAAATATATTAAAAGTTTAGTTTGTTTATCATTCAAGTCAATTTCAAATGAGTTTTAATTAAAAAAATCACAAATTAAGCTAAAATAGTTTTATTTTTTAAAAAAAAAAGTTCTATAATACATATAAATTTATCAAGTTGAGTTTGAGCCGAACTCAAAAAATTAACAATCATTAAAAATGTTCAAACTTGACTTGTTTATATAATAAGCTAATTACGAACAAGCTTTTCACTAGCTGAGCACGAGTTTGATTCATTTTATAGCCTACATGTCATCTTCAAAAATAGCATATGTGATGAGTTTAGTAGTAAAAACTTGGAATTGCTCGAAAGCAACTCCATTCCATATTAGCTTGGATGAGTACAAGGTCCAAATTTGGGTAGAGATTTGAAAAGAGAGAAAAAAAAAATATGAGTAAGATATAACTATATTTCACACCTTATTTAGTTCCTTTTCCAAATTCCTACTCAAATCTATGATCAAAACACAATCTTAATATATTTATACAATAACTTGTTAACTAATCTAATATTCATTACTAATTTTCTAGAAAGAAATAGAAACAATGCTAGACATGTTATGCTAGGGAGCTTACACACAAAAAGCATAAAGAAAATACAGCACCAAATTACCAATCTCAATTTAAAAACTAGATACAGAAATACTATTTAACAAAGGATAATGCTAAAATTTCTAGAAAGTTACTACTAGAGGGTGTCTAGTGTTATCCTTCTTGACAACTTATTGTTGGCGGTGCACATATGAATCAAGAAAAACCTAAAAACAAAAGGAGATGGAGAAATATGGACTGGACAATTTCAACATTGGGCTAGAAATTGGTTTCTAAACTTCCTCACAATCAGAAAAAAAAAAAAAAAAAAAAAAAAAAAAAAAAAAAAAAGAGCCCATTGATTACCTTCTCTGTTCCTTTGTCTTGCAAAAATTTGAATGGAAATCCAACAAATACCCGAAGTTCCCTGTGATTTCAACAAGATATCCTCATCTCAACTCCAAGAATGTCCTTTACCACCTCGTATGCTACAAATGCAATTGCTATCGATGGTGCCGCCTAAAGAGTGAGGCAATCGCATTAAAATGTTAATCTAACAATTTAATTCATAAAGGAACGACAATATCAACTTGGCTAGCAATTGAAGAATGCCTTAAGAACTAATGAACCTATGTTACCCTCCTTTGATCAAACTTAGGGTTGCATATGAACTAAGTTGCTCGTGAGCTTGGCTTAGCTAGGTTCGTTACGTATATAAATGAGCTAGAATAAGCTTTCCTTGTTTATTTTTTAAATTAAAGGATAAATATATTGTTTATATATTAAATAATATAAATTTTTTTATATATGCATATTTAATATGCTATTGATCAAAAAAAATAAAAAATAAAAAAATAAGCTGACCGAGCTTGATTGTCGAGCCAAACCTTTTCTTCAGTATCGAGCTTCGAGACAAGCTCAAGCATGACTAGCATTAATGAGCCGAGCCAAGCTCGAGTGATTCATTTTCGAGCTTGATAAACAAAGGAGATGAGCTTGAGCTCGGCAAAACTCGGCTCGGTTCAACTTGTTGGCAGCCCTAATCGAACAAAAACAATGGGTGAAGATGTATCTGGAGATTATTATAATAGAAAGTACAAACCTTGACTAAATTGGGGACCAAACCCTTGTACAAGGCTCCAAAACTCTCATGCCGAACTGTTTTTCTGAATGCCATACCCAAATACTCGAGTGGTGCCTTGCTCTTCCCATCACCAGTAACAACTGAAGCAGAATCTTTCCAGCCCACCATCTGTATCCTTCGACGGATAACATTAAGAGGATAAGCAACAGTCTCGCCAACAGTTCCAGCAGCAGCCCTACATGCAAGCTTTGTTGTGACATTCAACTCTGTGTTTTCAACTAGTCCAAATGGTCTAGATTTGATCAACCAGTCTTTTAAAGATTCATATACAACAAAGTTCAAACCCACATATGGTATCCACAGGCATCATATTATATATATTAGGCCTATTGGCAAAGAAATGAGAAAATGATTCATCTTTGATTTAAAACAAACAGAAAAAGCCAATAACCTTGATCAATAATATGTGAAAAACCAATTCTTATTCATCATCTTTAAAGAATAATTAGAGTGCAGCCTATTATGCAACATTCAGCCTTCAGTATGTAACACTCAATCCATCTGTGTTCATCATCAGCACAAAGCTGGAGAACTAAGGCACTAACTAAAATTTTAGAGAGAGAGAGAGAGATAAGAGATGGTCATATACATTTTTTTTTAAAACCCTTTTCCTCCCTCTCTTGATTGGCAATACGTACATCCAGAATCCCAGAAAAATGACTATATGTATAAGCTTGTAGACTTCAACATAAACAAACAATCAATGGACCAATACAGGGTAACTTACAACTCCTATTATAAAAGGAAGCCATCCTCTGTATAAAGCGCGAGGGCCTTCTTCATGAAAAACTGTTGAAAGAGCATGGAAGATTCCTCTATATTGGTGAGGAGACATCTCTGTCTGCAAAAAATTGACAAAGGGATAAAAAGTGAAATCATCAATTCCTAAATTAGGACAGCATGCATTTAGCATGGCCAACGTCCAGGAGAACTGGGACAAAACTACATAAATTGAATATACAGAAGATATCTCCAAACAATACTTGGACAGTGAGCCGACCTCGTACCATGTCCATTGGGTAAGTTGCCGACATGGCAATAATACCAGCACATGCTCCAGCTCCAAGGCGTAACGGAGGGGTGAGTTCAGCATCCTCTGACAATGAGAAATAACAACCCTATTCTACATGCCAACATTGTTTAAATTCAAACCTAACATCTAACAGAAAACAAATTTAGTGACTCGAATAGGAGATGATGTATGAACCTCATTTAAACATTGTAAGTAGTTAACTGCAAAAGTTGAATGTGTTCATATGCTCTGCATTTGGTCTTCTATTTTTCATCCATTAACTACTAAATTACAACCATTACATCTTATCAGAGACAAAAATAGTCCACATTCCACAAACTAATTATCCCGTCCCATTTTACATGCCACTTAAAGCGACCACATATTTTTTTAGTAGCATTGTTCTTCATAACAATTTCCACATCACCTTCACTAACGGTATAGTTTTACCCCGTAATACTTGCTCTTGGGTATCTAGTATTTGAACCGATCGCTCTTCGTAAGAGGCATCCTCATCTACCACCAAATCAACCCAATCTAGCACATGAGAAGGGTCGGGTTCATACTTCCTAAGCATGGACATATGAAACACATTGTGAACCCCCGAAAGTTATGGCGGTAAGGCCATCCGATACGCCACTTCCCCAATTCTCTCCAATATCTCGAAAGGCCCAATGAACCTCGAAGACAACTTACCACTCTTACCGAACCTCATCAAACCCTACCTATGTGAGATCTTAAGAAATACATGGTCACCCACTTCAAAAGACAAAGGTCGTCTCCTCTTATCGGCATAACTTTTCTGTCGGCTTTGGGCTGTAGCTAACCTTTTCTGAATGAGAGCAACTTTCTCGGTTGTCTCTCTAACGATCTTTGGGCCCAACAACAATGCATCACCCACCTTGGCCCAACAAACTGGTGATCTACAAGGTCGGCCATACAAGGCCTCAAACAGTGCCATCTCAATGCTAGCTTGGTAACTATTGTTATAAGCAAACTCAATCAACGGCAAGTGCCTCTCCCAAGACTCCTTGAAATCAAGGACACAAGCTCTAAGTATGTCCTCCAAAATCTGAATAGTACGCTCTGATTGCCCATCGGTTTGAGGGTGGTAAGCGGTGCTAAAGGTTAACTTAGTTCCCAATGCCTCTTGAAGGCTTTGCCACAACCAGGCAGTAAAGCGAGATGATTCTCTGTGGTTCATATTGGCATCATGTCCCTAGTTACATTTTTGTTCATATACATCTTTAGAACTCAATTTAGGCTTTGATTTGAAGGAGGATGAATTCTGAGTCGTTGCAGGTTTGATTTCCTTGTCAATAGGTGCCTCTGATCTTGTTTTTTCTGTTACCTATTTTCAGTGTTACTTTTTTTTTTTTTTTTTCTTTTTTTGAACTAGGAACGCAGGGCTTACACAGCATCAGCAGATAGACAAAAGAGCAGAAAGCTCAACAGGGGAGTTGACAACCCAATCTAAGGTTGAAAGATTTGGAAAGGGAAAGGGAAAGGGAAAAAGTAGATGAAATGTAAATCTTTTTCCCTTTCTCTTTCTAAATTTCTTCCCAAATCTCCTAACCAAATACATAGTTAAGTTTCCTGGAAGCTATCCAATAAGCACGACAAAAAATTAAGGTTTTAGTAGCCAAAATTTAGGAGTAAAATTATTTTTAAGGATCAAATATTTTTGTTGCGAAAAGTATAGTTATTATATTTTTAGTAACGAAAATTAGGCATTAATGATGAATTATTATCTTTTTTAGACCAAATTTTTTATCTCTAAAAATAAATCATTTTGAGACCAAATTATTATGTCCTAAAAGTGTATTTATTAGTGACATTTTTAAATTTTGTTGTTAAAAGCCTTATTTTTAACTTTTCGAGACGGCCTTTGAGCGGCTATCCTTACGACTATAGAAATTAATCCCTAAATATCTTTTCCAACAAAATTTTTATTTTTAAAAATCAAAAAATTTAATCCTTAAAACTCTTAGATGTTGTAGTGAAGCGTCAAGATTAGATTCTCTAGGAGTCCAAATGAAAGAGATGTTGCTTCTCAGAGCTAGGAGAATATCATGAATGATTGCTTGGCAATCCCGAGGACCAACTCGGATACACTCAACTGGATAACTGTCTTGCTATCACTTATCCTTTGGACTTGCTCGAGATCGAGGGTTGTAGAAAAGGCGCAAACCAGTGGAACCATTCGTGCTTCACCTTCAGTTGTTGAAGACGACTAAACCGTGGAAGTGGTTCCATCTAGGGGTGTGCATCGGTCCGTCAATCCACCCAATCCAATTTTATTTTTTTAGGGCTTGGGAATACTATTTAGCCCATAAGATTGGGCTAGATTGATATTTTCAACCTGATTGATTAATGAGCTAGGTTCGGGATTATATTTTTAGCCCAACCCGTTATATATTTAATTTTATTTATTTATTTATTTATATTATATATTGAAAATATATATAACTTTTTATTGTCACTCATGTGATTTGTAAGATGTTCAAGTGATCACTATTTTACTGAAAATATTCACACAAAAATTTTTTTGAAGAAATTTGAAGTTTAAATTATGAATTTCTTTTTCTTTTTTTTAGTTTGATGCATTGCTAATAGTTTGATTTAAAAAAGGGAGATTTATTAGAAAATCATTTTTCGTGTGTTTGTATCCCAATTAGTTCATAAAATATTCTTGCATTCAAATTAGTCTTATTATTTGAACATTTGATCTATCAAATCATAATTCTCATATTTAAGGTATTTTATGGACATTTCTACCCTTATAAAAAAATTTTGAATGGTTAGCAATTTGGTGATGTGAACATTTATATTTTACAATGTGAATATTCACATTGACATGTTAACATTCATATTGATGGTGTGAATATTCGCATTGACGGTGTAAACATTCACATCACATAATATTCACACTGTAAATGTGAATATTATTAGGGATATTCTTGTAACTATGCCACTCATAGGACTTATTGGAATATAAGAAAATAATATGAATTAAATGGAACATAAGTAGGTAAAAAGGGTTTATGAAAAAGTGTCCGTTTAAAAAACTTCGAACTTCTACAATTATGGGCGTGTTCGGTTCAAAAAATATATATAATATTTTAATTAATATGTGTGGGAGCCGAATTAAACTGGATCAGTAAGGATGAATGGATCCGTCCGGTCTGAAACGTAACATCTATTCGGCATTTATCCTAGTCAGTCGAAGAGTCGAATAAAGTAACCGGCACTCCAGCCAATAGGACAGAGGCCAAGTAGAAGCACATATAAAGGATCAAAGATGGGCCTGGGCCTGGCCCTAGGGACCACAAAGAATACTATAAATACGGGATCATCAGTCAGAGAAAGAGAGGTGAGAACTATTATGTTTTACTTAGAATACAAGTAATCGTGAGTGTAGAGACTGACTTGTCCGTCGAAGTGCTAATTCTGGCATCCTCGACCGGAGTGTTTATTCCTTTTCAGGTGACTACCAGAGGATCACGAGCGTCCCCCAGGATCAGAAAAGTATTTCCAAACCACTTCTCCACAATATGGTATTAAATCTTCAATGGTTAGTTGCTTTATAGGCTTTTGTCTATTTATGAAAAAATAACAGATACTATAATGTTTAATTTTCTTTTTTATACCTTACATATATTTCTTGATAAACGAACTTAGGAATTATAATTTATTTAGGATTGGGTTTGGATTGATTGTAAAAGTCCAATGTTCAGGCTGAGCGGACTTAGATAGACATGAATTTTTTTATCAGATAGTGACAGTCCGACCCAAATTCAATCCAACCTGGTAAATGACCACCTCTAGTTCCATCCATCAGAATTCCTCTCCAATCCCGTAAAATAACTACTAAGGATGTTCAAGAACTGTCCTCTCCAATTCCATAAAATAACTGCTAAGGATGTTCAAGAACTGTCCGTCACGAAACAAGCATCACAATAGATATTTTTAGTGTTATTTTGTATTGGCATCTCACCAACTTGATTTAGTGTTTACTTGGCGGCTTGCATATGATTTTTCTGAGCGTTTAGTTGGATTATATTTCTAAGATTGAGCCTCCGTTTATTTCGTAATCAAATATTTTACAAAAAAAAATATATTTTTTCATGTAAAACAACTTCATGCAAAAAATATATTTTCTTTCTATTTTTTGGTGTTTGGTTGATATTTGTAAAATATTTTCATAATACTGAAGTTGTACTCTCTCTCGCTCTCTGCATGCAATTTCTGGAGATGTTGAATTGATCTTTGAAGAGAACCAATATTATCCACAGCTGCAAAACCCACTGGATTTGCTCACTAAACTGTCAAGATGATCGGAACACGGTATACAAAAATAATTGTCCAAAAAAAAAAAGTATACAAAAATAACTTGCGGAAATTTAAGAGGAAAGTTATTTTTAGGCTTTTCATGAAAGTTATTTTTGTTAAAAAAATATTTTACTTACTTTGTGATCAACCAAACAATAAAAAATAATATCGAAACAAACGGAATGTTAGTGGATAACGTTTATAGTGATAAATCTAAAAACAAACACTAATATATGGGTGTAATACATAATATGGTACTACACACCTGCCAACTTAAAAATTGCTTGGTGGAATTGATAATTACTACATACAATAAATATATATATGGGTAAATTATAAATGTATTTCAAATATAAATGTATTTCAAATATTTCAAATATTTGTTTAAAATACAAATTGTCTCTCTTAGTTTGAAAAATTATAAATATCTGCTCGTCAAGATATTTTATTTAATAGAATTAACTAAAAATATAAAAAATTTAACTGCTCTATTATACAACAATAAAATTATATAAATTATTAATTGAAATAAATTTTTAACATTATTAAAAATTATTAATTAACCTGATAATTTATTAATAAAATATGTCATTTGTTATGAAATTAGAAATTTCAAGAAATGAATTTTTAAAACTACATAAGACAATTCGTATTTTAAATAAATTTTAAGAGAGGTAAAGAAATTGAATCAATTGATATATGGTTTCCTAATTTGATCACCATAGTATATGCCAATCAACTTATTAAAGTGA